AACCGTTTTTAAGGTATGGAAAAGTCAAGGTTTTAAAACCGCCAAACCCTGCTGAAAAATCCAGCTTAAACCAGCCTAAGCTGATTGGCTGGTTTTAGCTGGTCGACCAGGCTGGTTTAAGAGGGGTTTTGGCCATTTCCAGGCTGGTTTGCAGTTATTTCCAGCCTGGTCTTAGCTGGTCAGGCTGGGAGATGACCAGCTAAAACCAGCTTGACCAGCCTAGCCAAGCTGGGAGTCCAGCCAAAACCAGCTATATCCAGCTTAAACCAGGCTGGTCAAGCTGGTTTTAGCTGGATTTGACAGGTCATTTTCCAGCCTACCCAGCTAAGACCAGGCTGGAAATGGCTGGAAACCAGCCTGGAAATGGCCAAAACCCCTCTAAAACCAGGCTGGTCAACCAGCTAAAACCAGCCAACCAGCCTAGGCTGGTTTAAGCTGGATTTTTCAGCAGGGAAGTTTTCTGTAGTACCGTTTCCTAAGGTATAGGTGAAATTTTTATTTACGTTTTTTTTTTAAGTTTTTAGGACAATACCTCCAGCAGAAAAGATATCCAAAAATGCTGTGCTAAATTGTAAAGAAATCTGTGTTTTTAAAGAGGCCATATTATGGGTTTTGGAAAATTCCCCTCCATATAGTGTGTAACACAGCTCTAAGTGAAGTGAAGTATCCAGCTAAGGCTTAAATCTGTTAGTGTACAGTGTTTAAAACGGTTGATTCATCTATAAAAGAGTCGACTCATAGTGCTTCAAACGAGTCGCCTTGATCCCGAGTCATTAGGTGTTTCGCAATGACATACGAACGAAACCAAGTTATTCACGTGGTTAGCCCTGTTCCCTCATAGCTAGAAGGTCGCTGGTTCGAGTCCCAGCTGGGTCTGTAGGCATTTCGGTGTAAAGTTTGCCAGTGTTGGCTTGTTTCCTCCAGGTCCTTTCTCAGTCCAAAAACATGCGCTATAGGGGAATTGGATGAACTATGGGTGTTTCCCAATACTGGGAAGGGCATCCACTGTGTAATACGCTGGAAAAGTTGGCGGTTCATTGCGCTGTGACGACCCCTCCTAAATAAGGGACTAAGCCTAAGGAAAATAAATGAATGATAATTGTGATATGAAGTATTGATACCGTTATCGCCTCTACTGTGGAGGTCAATGGTTACAGATTTGTAACATTTTTCAAAGTATCTTCTTTTGTGTTCAACAGAGCACACGCGCAAACCCGGGAGATTTGAAAACTGCGGCCCCGCCCTCTGACGCAGAAACCCACACACACACACAAACACACACACACAAACATGCCGGTCGATTGAAGTCACACTGCAGATGGATATTATCGAGTCTCTACCCAAAGATGAAACCTCAGCATTATAACCAAGCCTTGAACAGTTGGAAACTTCTGCAAACTACATGCTACAAAGAATACTTCGTTAGCGTTTGTTAAAAGAAGGATCAGTAAAGAGTAACTTACTGTTGGACGTCAGGATGGGTTTCTTCCTCCGTTTCTCAAGTGTAAGTACGTGCGATTAAAGTTGTTGCCTCGTTGAATCTAGCATGCAAATGTATTTAGTTGTGATTTGTTACTTGTAACCGCGTGTACTGTATCAGGTTAATTGGATATATTCTCATATCGCGTGCAAAGTCACGTTAAAAACGCGACGCGTGCTGCTTTGTTGACGGAGCTCCGTGGACGAGGGTAGTGTGTGCGTACGTGTGTGCGTGTGCGCTGTCGTCCGGAAGTATGTGTTTGTGTGTGTGTGCGCGCGCGTTGTCATCCGGAGGTGTGGGTGTGTTTTTGTGTGTGTGTGCGCGCGCGTTGTCGTCCGGAGGTGTGTGTGTGTTTGTGTGTTTGTGTGTGTGTGTGTGCGCGCGCAAGGACGAGGGCAGTTTGTGTGTGTGTGTGTCTGTGAAAAGAGCAGAGTGAGACAAGCTAGGAGATCTCCTCGACAGTTCTTGCTCAATAAAATAGTCAGTCGTCGGTATTTTCAAGTCCATCGACTGTATTTACATTGACCCACTGGCAGCTAAACTCCACGCCTACACTATCGAGCGTGTATGAACTGTGATTACTTTTATATTGCTGATTAGCTGTTGGGCATTTCACTCTCTGACTGAAGGCAGTCGACCAATCGCAACAGACTTTCATCGGTCCAATCAGCTTAGCTTCGCGCTAAGGAGGGGTTTGGGAGCAAATGAATCACTGGACGATTCATACGGGAGTCGCTGGGATAATTAGGTAAAAATAAATGCAGATTATAAGACCATGAAAGTGTTTTTTGACCTTGCATGCATGTTAGACTGTTGTTGGAGACCCTTACAACCGAAATATGACCCTATTTCATGTATAATATGGGCTCTTTAAGTGAAGTTTACTTATAAACTAATTTCAAGAGGAGCGCTGTTATGATTGATAGCACCTGGTCCACATTAGCTAGCACTGATTTACCAATCAGACGACTCCTTAACCACTATAAATAACCAGAGTATCTTACTTCAGCCATCTTCGTCTTGAAGAATCCCCCCTTCCACCCCTAATCCTCCTATATCCTTGTCAGGGCAGCACGGAGGCCTAGTGATTAGCACCACGGCCGTAAAGCAAAAATTGCCACCGGCTCGGACACTACTTTCTGTGCGGAGTTTGCATGTTCTCCTCATGTTCGCGTGGGTTTTCATCTCCGGTTTCCTCCCACAGACCAAAAACATGTAACACGAGTAAATTGACAAATCTAAGTTGACAGCATAGACACTTCATAGCATTATAATCTACTTCCAACATTATCAAGCAGGGGAGTTCTCGAGACCTCCCTGAACTCGGACTTCCATCTCAGAGCCCCGGGCTCGAGGATCTCACGAGTTCAGGGCTCTCTCCCGGGACAGCATGCCAAAAACGCTCCATAATCAAACATCAGCTATGAGCGAACTCTTGAAAACTAATGAAGAGAGCAGAAGCCTGACATGTTTACTGCTCCAATATATCATAAGTATTTAAAAAAAAAATTATATATTGTTTTTAAAAGTTTTCAAAGAATTTTTTTTTTCTTTTTTTACCCAGACTATAAAGAGAATATATTTTAGAGCAATAATGTCAATACCGTGAAACCATGATATTATTATCCGAGGTTATCATAGCGTCAGAATCTTATACCGGCCCATGCCTAATCACAACACCAGTCATGAGTGTCAAATTAAACAAAACAAAAGGAATCTAAACATTGTCTGAAAGCTAAGCAAATAACGTTAGGACAGAATGAAATTTAGCCAAATATTTAACTATTTAAAAACGTGGAATCTGAGGGTGCAATAAATTCTAAATATTGAGAATATTGCTTTAAAACATGTCTAAATGAAGTGACAAGCAACACTGTAAAAAACGCTGGGCTCCACACAATTATGTTGTCTCAGCATAAATTGATTCATTAATTTATTTTCTTCTCAGCTTAGTCCCTTAATTAATCTAGGATCACCACAGCGGAATGAACCTCAAGCATGTTTTTACGCGGCTGCAACACATCACTGGGAAGCACCCATACACTCTCATTCACACTCATGCACTACGGACAATTTAGTTTATTCAATGCCCCTATAGTGCATGTGTTTGGACTGGGAAACCGGAGCACCCGGAGAAAACCCACGCCAACATGGGGAGAACGTGCAAACTCCACACAGAAACGCCAACTGACCCAGCTGAGGCTCGAACCAGTGTCCTTCTAGCTGTGAGACGATTGTGCTACCCACTGCACCACCGTGACACCTAGAAAATACTATAGTAAAGTATATAATATACTATATTGTTTATAAATACTGTAGTAAATTACTTTAATATTGGTAATACAACAACTAAAGTAAGTAGTATACTGTCCTAAGTAATATATATATATATATATATATATATATATATATATATATATATATATATACACAGTTGAAGCCAGATTTATTCGCCCCCCTGTTTATTTTTGTCCCCAATTTCTGGATTTTGGTTGCCATACCTGATGAATAAATGTCAGTATTTGACGTTAATATGACGTTGGTTTAAGATGTTGGCTCCACGTTGGATTTTAAACACATTCCTAATCTAAATTGACCAAATATCAACATCATTTGACGTCATTATTGAACATCAAAATAACGTTGTCCTTAGACGCTGGCTAATCATTGAATTCTGGTCACCTGACATCACAACCTTAATCTAACCTAATATTAATGTCTTATGGCGTTGTGTGCCTGCTGGGCAATATCTGAATGCACTACAGAATGTTTCGTTTACACACACATCCTCAAATGACATGTAATCGCATCAGCTTTTAACAGTGTAATACTCACTACTCATGAGTACTTCTGAAAGGGCTACTTTTTACTCATATTTTGAGTAATATTTACATCAGATTTACGCTTTTACTCTACTTGCATTACATATTTAGGCAAGTAATGGTACTTTTAATTAAGTATGATTTTTAGGTACTCTCTGGATTTCACTATTTACGAAAAGAATACATCTGAAATGATATTATTAAGGAGAAAGTCTGAATGGCCGAATGTAAATCCTCAATTGAGATAAGGAGGGTTTTATATTCACACATTGTGTCGTTTTTGAGCCACGCTACTTTAAATACTGGGTCTGAAATCTCATGCAAGTATGACTCCAAAACAACATGAGCACTATTTAATTGACCTGCTAAATTAATGTTGTACTTTGACAGTCATTGACTGCTAATGTGACTTCCCTAATCAGAATTTACAAGGAATACTTTTCTGAAATGATATTATTAAGGAGAAAGTCTAAATGGCCGAATGTAAAACCTTAATTGGGATAAAGTTGTTTTATATTCACACATTGGGTCGTTTTTGAGCCACGCTACTTTAAATATTGGGTCTGAAATCTCATGCAAGTTTGACTCCAAACAACATGAGCACAATTTAATTGACCTGCTAAATTAATGTTGTACTTTGACAGTCATTGACTGCTAATATGATGTCCCTATTTAGATATTATTAAGGAGAAACTTACTCTCTGAAGGGTAAAAGGGCTGCATGTCTATCTTGTGCACTTCTTTGGCGTAATACTCCTCCTCGCTGCGCTGCCTCTCGCATGTGGCCGCGCGCTCGTTGGCTTTCTCCTGCAGCAGGTCCCGTGTGCTGTTATAGATGGCGATGATGTCCCGGGACACCTCCTCGGGCTCGGGGTAGATCTCAGGAGGACTGCTCAGCTTCAGTTTGCTCAGGATCTGGCCGCGGATAGCCTCGATCCGCTTCTTCTTGAACTGGTCCATGTCCAGAGTGCTGCAAGTGGATAGACTGACGGCCACCGCGGCTAAATCCAAAAGCAGAAGGAGGCTCAAGACGTACAAGTTCATGTTTGTGTTTAGTTTTTTTGTTTGTTTTTGACGCAGAGGAAATGCTGTTATCAATGGCTTTTATTTAAAGTATGTTTATTATTGTTGTACCTCCGAATCTAGTCGATGCGTGCGTCAGATCCGTTGTGTGCTGGAGAAAGGCTGAGATCTTCATTCCAGATCGGTTTTCTGTAAACGCACGCAACTCCAGACAGCTAAAACAGCCATTGGTTTGACTCTCGATAGTGTCTCCTTCTCAAAGCTCTTCTGGTGCGTTTGTTGATGACAGACGCGTCGCCTGCGGGGTTTTTGCGCGCACCTCCACCGCATCAGAGCGCCGCAAACTCTCTCCAAAGAAGCGCCACGCAATTTCGCCCAAAATAAGTCCTGGAAGAGTCCTGCGTTTATTCCGCAAAGCGCATCTCAACTTGATGTCTAAATAAAGCGTGTACCTGTTTTGCGCACTGAATGAGTTAAAGCAAGTGATGAGTTAAAGTGAGTAGAGCATGCAAACGCAGTGACTTTTCAGTTTACGCACTCCTCAGTTCGGTCCCCTGTGCCAGCACACACACACACATGCACATCTGATTCTGAATGCTGCCGGCTGGAGAGGGAGATTTATAAAGGACTGACTTCACCACGTGGTTGTGGTCATCACGGTGAGACCGATTCGTCAGTTTACCGAGCCCTTCAGTGTAAATAACTCCGCGTGGCGCTGCGCTTACGCCGGCGCACAGGTCCTAACGCCCACTGACTGCAGGGGCGATTTTAGGATATTCATTTTAGGGGGGCTTAACTCCTTCCTTATGAGGTAAATAAATAAAAAAAAGAATAATTAATTAAATTATATATATATATATATATATATATATATATATATATATATATATATAAGCCTAATATAATATTTATGAGTATTAATTTAATAGTAATACATTTAAAAATGTTTGACCAATATGGTAAGGTTGTACGCTAAAGGAGCACTCTATTGTATAGATAGGCTGAGCAATTTCTGATTTAGTCATTTATTTAATTATCATTCATTCATTTTCTTGTCGGCTTAGTCCCTTTATTAATCTGGGGTCGCCACAGCGGAATGAACCGTCAACTTATCCAGCACGTTTTTATGTAGTGGATGCCCTTCCAGCCGCAACCCATCTCTGGGAAATATCCACACACACACATTCACACACACACACATACACTACGGACAATTTAGCCTACCCAATTCACCTGTACTGCATGTCTTTGGACTGTGGGGGAAACCAGAGCACCCGGAGGAAACCCACGCGAATGCAGGGAGAACATGCAAACTCCACAAAGAAACGCCAACTGAGCCGAGGCTCGATCCAGCGACCTTCTTGCTGTGAGGCGACAGCACTACCTACTGCGCCACTGTATATCCTGTATGTGTGTGTATATATATATATATATATATATATATATACACACACACACACATATAATATAATATATATATACACATATAATATAATATAATATATTTTATATTATATATAAATATAATATCAACATTAACATATCTGACATTTTTTACAAGCATCCACAATAATCATGTGGTAATGTACAAAATATAATAAATAAAGGCAATTTTCAGGTCTTCATGTAGTGCATGCATAATTAAGCAAGCAGAAATCCGACACAATCTCACGGCAATTCGTAACTTTTTGCTTTAGTGGCTAATTCGTATGATCTAATTCGTACAATTTAGTTTGATTTGCTCATCACTAGGGCCAGGCGGAATCTGCGGACGTTTTTTTGCTATTTTTGCTGTTTTACTAAAACCTTAATATATAAAATAAAAAATAATATCTTTTTTACTTTTAAATAAAGCAAGTTTGTCATATAATATATCAAGTAAAAGACAGAAAATATTACAGTACACACTGTATTGTACATAAATCTGATGAACATTTTCACATTAGTCAATAACATTCATTCATTCATTTTCTTGTCGGCTTAGTCCCTTTATTAATCCGGGGTCGCCACAGCGGAATGAACCGCCAACTTATCCAGCAAGTTTTTACGCAGCGGATGCCCTTACAGCTGCAACCCATCTCTGGGAAACATCCACACACACACACTCATACACTACGGACAATTTAGCCTACCCAATTCACCTGTACCGCATGTCTTTGGACTGTAGGGGAAACCGGAGCACCCGGACGCAGGGAGAACATGCAAACTCCACACGGAAACACCAACTGAGCCGAGGTGTCAATAATATTACTGAAATTAATAAAAAAAAACTGAATAAATATAGATTTACACACATTTACTCAAGTAAATAAACAGAATTATTGATGGGCTAAAAATCTGCGGAATTCAGCGCGTGCAGATTTCCGGTGGGTCTACTCATCACCCAATGACGGTTGGGGTTAGGGTGTGGTGCCACGCCTCTTTTTTAAAATCGTACATTTTTGTACGACTGAACTCGTACGAATTAGCCACTAAACTGACAAAACGTAAAATACTTACGTTTCCTCGTGAGATCAGGCTGAGAAATCACACATGAAAATGTTGACTGACTCTTCAGCGTGGTGCAGTTTATATTTATAGCTTATATAAATTTAAATAAATGAGACACAGAACAAAACCCCCTCATCTAATCTCAACTTTTATCTCATGCCATTTGACATACCAAATAAAAAAAAAAGATTATTACTGCTGTTTCGACACCCACTAGTGATAAGTAATGATAAAGCATTCCAGCTGATGCATCAGAACATAAAAATCTAGCTGATAACTCATTTTTAGAGATTGTTAGAAGTCGTATGATTGAGCAGATTCTCTGTATTCAACATGTAACCGCAGGCATTTTCCGCTTATCTGCATCTCCCTCAAAGCACCTGCTTGATTTACTCCTCCATCCCTTGAGATTCTGCTTTACAAAAAATTATCATCATTTGCCAAAGCCTTTTGTACCCGGCCCACACTCCAGTAATCTATCATGAGTGACAGGCCTTCAGAACCCACTGCTGTAAACCAGATGTTACCCCTAAATCAGTACCAACAAACCCTGCAGGGGAGGAAAAAAATCTTTAAAGTACACATGAAATCAAAACTAAGCATATTGATTTTGTTAGCTCTCGTTGCTAGTTTTGTGGTGAACAATGCATCTGTGCATGTCATTAAGCAAAAACCAATAGTTTGCGCTTGTAATCTTTAATTGATATCTGAAGATGACCTTCGGTTTGTTTTCAGTTTAATTCTCAGGTCTGACTGAAGTATTGGGCGGGGCTAACATACTTAACCACGCCCCCTCGAGCTGTCAGTTTTGACAACAAACAGAAATGATGATGAGGAGGAGTCTGTTAGGTTGTAATAGCATTGCAATCCAAAAGCCACACCCCCTGAACATGCACTAGACAACATCGGTCTAAAAGCCACACCCCCTGAACATGCACTAGACAACAACAGTCTAGAAGCCACACCCCCTGAACATGCACTAGACAACATCAGTCTAGAAGCTACACCCCCTGAACATGCACTAGACAACATCAGTCTAAAAGCCACACCCCCTGAACATGCACTAGACAACATCAGTCTAAAAGCCACACCCCCTGAACATGCACTAGACAACATCAGTCTAAAAGCCACACCCCCTGAACATGCACTAGACAACATCACAACCCAAAAGCTACACCCTTGAACATGCACTAGACAACATCAGTCTAAAAGCCACACCCCCTGAACATGCACTAGACAACATTACAACCCAAAAGCCACACCCCTGAGCATGCACTAGAAAATATTACAATCCAAAAGCCACGCCTCCTGAACACATACTAGACATCCCAATCCAAAAGCCACGCCCCCTGAACATGCACTAGAAAACATTACAATCCAAAAGCCACGCCCCCTGAGCCTGCAATAGACAACATGACCATCCAATAGCCACGCCCCCTGAGCATGCACTAGACAACATGACCATCCAATAGCCACGCCCCCTGAACATGCACTAGACAACATGACAATCCAATAGCCACACACCCCTGAGCATGCACTAGACAACGACAATCCAATAGCCACGCCCCCTGAGCATGCACTAGACAACGACAATCCAATAGCCACGCCCCCTGAGCATGCACTAGACAACATGACAATCCAATAGCCACGCCCCCTGACCATGCACTAGACAACATGACAATCCAATAGCCACGCCCCCTGACCATGCACTAGACAACATGACAATCCAATAGCCACGCCCCCTGAGCATGCACTTGACAACATGACAATCCAGTAGCAACACTCCCTGAGCATGCACTAGACAACATGACAATCCAATAGCCACGCCCCCTGAGCATGCACTAGACAACATGACAATCCAATAGCCACGCCCCTTGAGCATGCACTTGACAACATGACAATCCAATAACCACGCTCCCTGAGCATGCACTAGACAACATGACAATCCAATAGCAACACTCCCTGAGCATGCATTTTGACTACATTTAAAGTTGTGTACTTGTACTCTTACTCAATAAAAGGTTGTAGTGTTGTGAGATAACAATTTACTTGTTGATATATGGTTGCGGTGTGATCTTAAATGGCACTTAATTTTGCTCTGACTCAAGCACATGAGAAAATAATGTGCAGATATGACAGAATGACCAGTAAGGGAGCACCAATGGCGCCGGACCCATTCTTGTGCGCTGTGTCAACATGCCCTCGAGTGGACAGGCATTCCAATGGTGGTTTAACAGCTGCCAAAATGAAGTCCTGTACCCTCTGAGGGTGATAGCGTACCCTCTCAGACACTAGGTAAATATATCTTCGCTGGGTGTGTACACATAGCTCAACTGAGAGTGATAAAGGGGAAAGTCTAGAATCAGCACAATTCAACAAATTCTGGCAATCGTCCAATAAGAGAGGCCTACAGGGTCTGTCATATTACAAACTACAATCCTAATGAGCTCAAGAGAATCAAATGCACCATATGGCCTATATCATGATGGAAGATATACGCTACATTTTTCAATTACAGATCAGGCTTTTCCCTAGAAAGGGAACTCTATTCTCTGCGCACTACTTTGACAGCAGCGCCGACTGGTGGTCATGAAAAATATTACTAAAGCCAAGAGCGTCCAGCTTTGCTCCTGAAAGGTTTTCTTCTCCATTACTCTGTTTTATTCCATGTTAAACTATCTTGAAGCAGCTCTTTAGTACAGTGGCCGAGACAGCTTAATGTGCTTTAATTTAAGAAAACACAAGCAATTACAAAAAAACGCCATGACCAGCTAAAACCAGCTTGACCAGCCTAGCCAAGCTGGGAGTCCAGCCAAAACCAGCTATGTCTAGCTTAAACCAAGCTGGTCAAGCTGGTTTTAGCTGGAGAACAAAAACCCCTCTAAAACCAAGCAGGTCAACCAGCTAAAACTAGCCAACAGGCCTAGGCTGGTTTAAGCTGGATTTTTCAGCAGGGATCGGATGTCATTCCCTCGCTGTAAATGCTAGCGTAGCGCACCCGTTTTTTTCTGCAACCTCGCTGCGCGCGCATCCTGAATGTTTATAAACTGGTAATTCGACTATACCAGGGGTGTCCACACTCGGTCCTGGAGGGCTGGTGTCCTAGAACGTTTAGCTGCAACCCTGATCAAACACACCTGAACAAGCTAATCAAGCTGGATATATTAGAAACTTCCAGGCAGGTGTGTTGAAGCAAGTTAAACTCATTTTAGCTTACTATATAGTAAGTATATGATTTCTGACGCTGCCATGGTTATTTAGGCTAATAATATACAAAAGACAAAGGAATTGTGTAATCAGGTTGTTAAAATAAACTCACCTTTCAAAGATCACCTACAACTTCACTGAGCTATACTCACGGCACAACAAACAAATCAAGCCAGGTCCATCGTTTTAGGGTCCCCTTGAAACATTTCTACTATGTTCAATCAAGAGAATTAGATACACCATATGGCCTATATCATGATGGAAGATATACACTACATTTTTCAATTACAGATCAGGCTTTTCCCAAGAAAGTGAACTCCATTCTCTGCGCACTACTTTGACAGCAGCGCCGCCTTGTGGTCATGAAAATATTACTAAAGCTGAAAGGTTTTTTTCTCCTTTACTTTCTGTTTTACTCACTTGAACCAATCCTGGAGGGCCGGTGTCTTGGAGAGTTTAGCTCCAACCCTAATCAAACACCTGAACCAGCTAATCAAGCTCTTACTATATATACTAGAACAGGGGTGCTCAACCCTGTTCCTGGAGATCTACCTTCCTGCAGATTTCAGTTACTACCCATATCAAACACACCTGAGCCAATTAATTAGGACCTGAACACCACTTGATAATTACAGGCAGGTGTGTTTGATATGGGTAGCAACTGAAATCTGCAGGAAGGTAGATCTCCAGGAACAGGGTTGAGCACCCCTGTTCTAGAAACTTCCTTGCAGGTGTGTTGAGGCAAGTTGAAGCTAAACTCAGCAGGACACCGGCCTTCAGGACCAAGTTTGGACATCCCTGTCTTAGAACTAAAAGATTCTATCTGACATTTTTGTCAAAATTGAGTTATTAAAATATTCTTATTAAATGACAACTTATTTACATTATGTGATGTTTTTTAATAAGTTGTTTACATTTTAAGACTTTTTATTTAAAAATTAAGTGTTACACACACACTGTTTACTATGGAATGTGAAAACTTTGAAGCTCAATATCTCAAAATCATTCAGAACGCAAATACAATACAATTCCAAATTGTTGAAAGGTAATTTGCTCACCGTTTATTGCAGAAGCAGCACTGCAAGACACTTATGACTTTAACAAACACAACTCAGAAGCTGTAATTGACCTAAACATAAAATAAAAAAAATAATCAGCTTATTTTATTCATTTTATTTTATTTTATTAAACTGTAAAATATAAAATCTAAAATCTAAACTGAGTGAGAGTGTATGGGTGTTTCCCAGTACTGTTACATAAAACTTTTGCTGGATAAGTTGGCGGTTGTTTCCGCTGTGGTGACCCCTAATTAATAAAGAGACTAGGCTGAAGGAAAATAAATGAATGTTTAAATTCATCCCATATGGATTTTGTTTGTAACAATTTTGCAGAAATCATTTTAATATGTAGGCATCAGTAAACTTAAGAGCAAAACATTACTGGTGTGATTATATTTTTAGCACTGAATATAATCAGTGCTAAAAATATAAAGAGATGTAATTCAGGCCAGCACTATAATTGGATGTCATGGCTATAGTGTATATTCCCTTACAGCTCAGCTGCCGAGGGTTCTTTTAAAGAATATGATAATCCTTTGCCAGGCATCCACCTGTGCCTCTGAATGAGCTTTGGGTTCCCCGCCAAACAAAACCGGTTGCTCAAGTACGCCATGAAATGCAGCCAGACAAAATGGCATGTAGGGCACCTCGATAAAGTGACCAGCTTTTTCATACTTCACCAGCTCATAGTTGTTTTTCCCATGTGCTTTGAGCCTGTCGCATGCTAACTTTGCATGATAGACGCTCCGCCAGTTCATGTCAGCTTCTGAAGCGATGAACATGAAACTAGCAGAGGCACGCTCGATGGGAATAACAGTAGGAAGACCTTCTTTAGACATCGGGTCATTCACAACCTCTAGCATGTCTACGAGGCCTAATGCTGTCATTTTCTTTTTCTTAAAGTCAAGCGTGAGAGGTGGAATGTACATGTCTTTGTAGTAGAGCGGGATCAGGCTGTTGGCATTGCATCCGTTGATCCAAACAGCAGCTGTTATGTCCGGCAGAAACGTTGACATGGACAAAGCGAGATCTCCACTCTTTGATATGGACAGAAGGCCGATTTTTTGACCTTTCACCTGAGTAAAAAACAGATCAACTTTGTGATGATGTCCCGTTAAAATAATTTGATTATGATTTTGAATGCTCATACATCAGTACTAACCTCTGGCTGTCGGCGTAGGAAATCTAGACCTTCTTCAAAGTACTCCAGGTGAAATTTGTCAGCTTTTTTGGGTAAATCCTGGTAGTTTTGGTAGGCCAAGGCTAAAACTGCAAAGCCTCTCTTTGCCAGCAGAGCTGCTCTCAACTCAAAAGGACCTCCTTTAAGTATGTAAGTATCCAAAATCCCAGGAAATGGTCCATTACCTGAAAAAAAAAGTGTAATACCTGCAATAAAAACTCATTTAGATAACCTCAGGCTCAGTGGCGTAGCGCAAAATGCGGAGGCCCCCCCTACAGGGATTACTGACGGGCCCCCTGATGAAGGGGGAGGGGACAACGCGGGGAAGCGATCACAAATTGAGCAGCGGGGAAGGGAGGCGGGGTGGAACGACAACGCGGGGAAGCCTTCACAAACTGAGGAGCGATCACAAACCGAAACCGGCAAGAGCGTCAAAGTAGCCAGAAGTCATTAATTTTCTATGGGAACCGGCGGCGAGGAACAGCGCGGCACGTCTTCTCCGGTGTGAGCGTCGAGGACAGTTGAAATCAAGTCAACTATATGGTATGAGCTATGACGCGGTTAGGCGGCAAGCAATCAGAATGAAGTAGTCCACCGCTTTATAGGAGTTTAGAGAACACAGACCTGTGAACTTTGGTTCCGACCACAGTTGTTCCAAAGAGTTTAATTATTGCCAGGGCCAGCGCGTCCTTAGAGGCGACCTATTCGTCCGCTTAGGGCGGCAGAATAGAGAGGGCGGCGTCCCCGACACTATCCTTACCTCTCGCGCCCTCAGGTATATCCACGTCTAGGGCGTCGTCTGCCACATTACCCTCACCACCTGCGCCCTCAGTTATACCCGCGTCTAGGACGGCAGAATAGAGAGCGCGTCTAGGACGGCAGAAGAGAGAGGGCATTTAGGACGGCAGAATAGAGATCGCGTCTAGGACGGCAGGAGAGAGAGGGCAGAATAGAGGTCGCGTCTAGGACGGCAGAAGAGAGAGGGCAGAATAGAGGTCGCGTTTAGGACGGCAGAAGAGAGAGGGCAGAATAGAGGTCGCGTCTAGGACGGCAGAAGAGAGAGGGCGTCTAGGACGGCAGAATAGAGGTCGCGTCTAGGACGGCAGAAGAGAGAGGGCAGAACAGAGGTCGCGTCTAGGACGGCAGAAGAGAGAGCGCGTCTACGATGGTAGAATAGAGAGCGCATCCAGGACGGCAGAATAGAGAGCGCGTCTAGGACGGCAGAATAGAGAGCGCGTCTAGGATGGCAGAATAGAGAGCGCGTCTACGATGGCAGAATAGAGAGGGCGGCGTCCGTGACACTACCCTCACCACCCGCGCCCTGTTATATCTGCGTCAAGGACGGCAGAATAGAGAGGGCGACTTTCTCTTCAAAGTTGAGGGCGGCGTTACCGTCCTTTGCCTGGAGCGGCAGTTCAGCTTGCTCCGGCCCTGATTATTGCGGTTGCCAAATTATCAATTATTTAAAATCGCGACGACGCAGGGCCCTCTAATCACGCAGGGCCCCCCTGCGGTGCATGCCCTGCGGGCCCGTCTGCTACGCCACTGCTCAGGCTGTGGCATAGCTGTAAATGACACATCCCCATTTTCAGCACAGCAAGGCAATGCCCTAAACATTCATATCTGTTACCTGACTATTATAAGATATTATAAGACTATATATAACTTATTAAAAAGAGACTGTAATGAGTTTTGGGGCAGCACGGTGGCACAGTGGGTAGCACAATCGCCTCTCAGCAATAAGGTCACTGGTTAGAGCAGGGGTCACCAATCTCGGTCCTGGAGGGCCAGTGTCCCTGCAGGGTTTTGTTCCAACTTGCCTCAACACATTTGCCTGGATGTTTCAAGTATACCTAGTAAGACTTTGATTAACTTGTTCAGACGTGTGTAATTAGAGTTGGAGCTAAAATCTGAAGGACACCAGCCCTCCAGGAACAAGTTTGGTGGCCCCTGGGTTAGAGCCTCGGCTCTAAACACATGGGCTATAGGTGCATTGGATGAACTAAATTGGCCGTAGTGTAATAGAGTGTGCTTGAATGAGAGTGTATGGGTGTTTCCCAATATTGGGGTGAGGTGACCTCTGAAATAGAGACTTAGTCAAAGGAGAATTAATGAATGATTTTAAAACTGTGTCTGGTGCTAATGTTGGCTTAAGTGACAGAGAGATGAAAGAGACAGCATAATAATGCAAATAACTGACCAGTGGGCATAAAAAGAGTCCCTCTGATCCTTCCTTCGGTGACAAGACTTCTCCGGACACCCTCGCTCAGGCAGTGTCTCTCGTTGGTCACTTTGGCCAGGACTTTCTCATCCTCACCGACAACCTCAATGTCAACAAGAGCTGGACGCGTCACATCTTTCAGCTTGAACTTGCAGCTTAATAGATCTGCTTTCAGAGCCCAGAATAAACCCATCGGTTCCACTCCAGAAAAGCTCCCGCCAGCAGAAGAGTCGCGCTTGAGGTCAATTTGGCCATTGTCATCTGCTAGGTAGATCGCTGAAGCCTTGAAATCACGTCCACCTTCATCCGTGATTTTGGAGCGCAGATTCACACGTTGATGTGGATTTAAGCCGCTCACCATCACATGCACCGGGTCTTCGAATGAGCACTTGTAACTGGGCAGAAGCTTGATGCTGACTCCTGAACTGTAGTGCACCTTCGCAAGGGATCTTGCAAAAGGCATAAAGGCAAATTTCAGTGCTGCATACATGTTATCCCTGTGATCACTGCAGGATACTGCTTAGAAAGATGATTTCAAAGAGCTTCTTAAAGCATCTTTGGACTCGAATCAGTCACAAGATCAGTTTTATATTTATGTAGACTTTGAACTGTCAGATCTCAAATTACATATCTGCGAGCAATTTAAAAATGGCATGTGATTTTGATACGGATGAAGTAACCTGACTACAGCTGAGGTCAGAATTATTAGCCCTCCTGTATATTTTCCCCTCAATTTCTGTTTAACGGAGAGAAAAACATTTCTAAACATAATAGCTTTTAATAACTCATTTCTAATAACTGGTTTATTTTGTCTTTGCCACGATGACAGTAAATAATATTAGACTAGATATTCTTCAAGATACTAGTATTCAGCTTAAAGTGACATTCAATGCATAACCGCTTGGTCCTGGGACACAAAGCGGTTGTGGATAGGGCTCTAAGGCAGGCTCATCCAGTTCGGAGAGGTTTTCGAGGAAATTTAAGTGTGAACTTTGCTTATCGACTGATACAGGATTGAGCGGCTCACAAACAAACAGTTCCTCTGAATCAATGAACTCTACTTCAAGATCCGATTTATCGGCTGCAGGGTTGCTTCGGCTTTCTGGCGCGTCACTTTCAATGAAGTTTCGCTGCTCAGCAAGGATTGTTAATTTCCTCAAGAAGTCTCTGCTTGGCCTGATAAATCTTTTTTTCTTTTTTTTTTGTACATTCAGTTAAATAAACTTTGGCATTCATTTAGTTGCTCAAGCGTAAAACAAGACAAAAAACCTGCTGCCAGCTAGTGTTTCAGAAGTGTTATTGCAGAACAACACAAACAGCAGGCGGAAGTATATATGACAATGTGCAAGGCATGCAGAAGTATATATCAGCCTTGAGAGCCACGGCGAGGGCTATGCGACCGCATGAAGGCTACGCCGCAGCATACATGTGCGCTTGACGCAGAAGCATAAATCAGCCTTACCTGCACGTCACAATGACGCGTACCGCAAGCTCTGTGATACCATCGACTTGGTAGGGCTGACGAGTGTGTGTGGGACCAAGAGCCGCGTGAACCCATTGGACTGAGTGTTTACAATATTGGAGTCCCGTAAAGGAGCTTCAGATGGAAACTGTTGAAAACTTTGCGTCCATCTACACCGTCTGACTTTCACACTAGTGGTGTTCTCGCTCAATTGCAGTCAGTGCAACTCTGATTCCGAATGCATTCCACGGTTGCCACAGCACCGAAGTTACAACATGGCGGAGATCAGGATTTTAAAAAAGTACATGCATCTAATGATCGATCTGTCATCAAAATGCAATATTACAGATCATTAATTCAGTGAGTTTTACATCGCACTGTAATACTCGATACTCTTTAATGTAAATGTCAGCATAGTGGTCGTACTTAGTCCTAGTTATTTTGATAATGTCTGTTTTCTGCTAACTTGTAGTACAATGAATTAGCTAACGCTTGCTACAGTATAGATGAAGTGTACCGAATTGGATAAAATGACAGGCTAATATTGCAGCATGCTAATAATAATTCCCCCCTGAGAATTCTCTGATAATGTGATGTCGCACATATGACAATAAATGTCATAATACACTTTTACCTCACTCATAAATTTTTATGCTTCAGATTGTTTTAATTGATGTTGTTGTATTAACCCAGTTAGATTACATTAAGTTCATTACACCTCAAGCCTCTGCTTTGGTTAATAACAACAACAGACGACAATGTGAGTTCACTCTCAAAAATAAAGGTACGCCAGCTGTCACTGGGGTGGTACCTTTTCGAAAGGTACACATTTGTACCTAAAGGGTTCATATTAATACCTCAAGGGTATAGATTAGTACCTAAAAAGTACAAAAGTGTTCCTTTTAAAATACTTAGGTACTAATATGAATGGTACCCCAGTAACAGCAAGTACCTTTATTTCTGAGAGAGTGTAGATGTATTGTTAAAAAACCATCATTTCAACTAAAGTAGAGAAGAGAGAGAGTGAATTATTGTAAGTCTGCTCCACAATAACTGCTCTTAAGTAATGCATTGAGAATAATAGTAAACTTATGTTTAGGAAAGCTTTGCTCATTAATAGTAATCACGCAACGTGCTGTTCGACTCTCTCATTGGCTGGCTCGAGTGTCTTGAATATTCATTAGCCACGCAACTGGACATCGGCACGTTTCAATTAATATTCATGAGATGGGCTTTCAGAGCAGATAGATCGTCTCCACGGGCGGACTGTTATGGCGGAACCTTCATCGCGGAGAGAGGATGAAGAATGGCAGGATTTTAACGAATTTAAGGGCGGAACGGGACGGAATTTGGATGTTAGCGCGGAGGAGACGCGGCTGTCGCTGCTGCTGCTGCTGGACGAGCTTTCAGACGCCGAGAGCGCGCTTCAGACGGGCGCGTTCACGTCCACACACTTCGACGAGAACCTACAGCTGTGCTTTCAAGATGTGCACTCGAAAACGGACGCAGGAAATGAACTGACGTCTTTAAACGAGGAGACGACGCTAAAATGCGACGAGTAAGTGAATAAACGCATACATTACTGTAAAAATGTACCGTGCTGCTGTTTCATTGGCGTCAATGATGTCAGACGCGACATAACAGCGTAACGTTACTTCTAATGAATACATGCTGCACCGTAAACATTTAATTGCGTTTTTTTTTGTCTTGTACACTGCTTTGTTTACGTTGATGTTCAGCAGGAGTTTGATTATTAGTGTTAAATGTCGTCATCATGAAGAATTCCTGAGCATCAGTCGAGGTCACGTGACTGGGGATGTTGTTGTTTACTATGTCATGCGTTTTCAGAGACAAACAAACTACACTGAAGCATTAGTAACCATGCTAGTCATATAGCTACATGATTTACAAAAGAAATGTTTTGGACACTTAAGAAACTGACATAATCTCATCAAGTTATAATAATCAAAAGTGTCTATTTGTGAACATTTCTGTGTATTCTGAATATTTCTGTGAATTTCTATTTATTGGTATCTCTGGACTGGGCATCTGGGGTTGGTGGTTCCCACTTTTAACAATGGGCACCGGAGTGTGTGCTCCCAACTATAGGGGGATCACACTCCTCAGCCTCCTGGGGAAGGTCTATGGCAGGGTGCTGAAGAGGGTGATCCGGCCGATGGTTGAACCTAGGATCCAGGAGGAACAATGCGGTTTTCGTCCTGGCCGTGGCACACTGGACTAGCTCTATACCCTTACCAGGGTGCTCGAGGGTTCATGGGTGTATGCCCAACCAGTCCACATGTGTTTTGTGGACTTGGAGAAGGCGTTCGACAGTGTCCCTCATGGCATTCTGTGGAGGGTGCTCTGTTAATGGCCGTCTAGTCCCTGTATGAACAGAGGAGGAGTTTGGTCCACGTTGCCGGCAATAAGTCAGACTTGTTTCCAGTGCATGTTGGACTCCGGCAGGGCTGCCCCTTGTCACCAATTCTGTTCATAATTTTTATGGACAGAATTTTAGGGCGCATCCTTGGGCTGGAGGAGTCTGGTTCTGGGACCACAGGATTTCATCTCTGTTATTCGCAGACAGTGTTGTTCTGCTGGCTTCATCGAACATGGACATGTGACATCGAACATGTGACATGGCTGGGATGATAATCAGCACCTCCAAGTCCGAGGCCATGGCGCTCCACTGGAAAAAGTTGGTTTGCCATCTCCAAGTGGGAGGAAAGTCCTTACCCTAGGTGGCGGAGTTTAAGTATCCCAGGGTTTTGTCCATGAGTGAGGGAAGGATGGAGCGTGAGATTGACAGGCGGATTGGTGCAGCAGTGATGCGGTTGATGTTTATTGGTCCGTTGTGGTAAAAAAGGAGCTGAGCCCAAAGGCAGAGCTTTTGATTTTCTGGTCAATCTACGTTCCTACTCCCTCCTATGGTCACGAGCTTTAGGTGATGACCGAAAGGACAAGATCTCGGATACAATCGGATGAAATGAGTTTCTTTCGAAGGGTGGCAGGGTGCAGTCTTATGGATAGGGGGAGGAGCTCTGACACTTGGGAGGA